TATTGATATTGATATTTATATATATATATATATATATATATATAAATATACATATATATTTATATATATATATATACATATATATATACATGTATATATATTTATATATGTATATATACATATATATATATTTATATATATTGATATTTATATATATGTGTATATATATATATATATAAATATACATATATATTTATATATATTATATATGTATATACATATATATATATATATATATATATATATATGTGTGTGTGTGTGTGTGTGTGTGTGTGTGTGTGTGTGTGTGTGTGTGTGTGTGTGTGTGTGTGTGTGTGTGTGTGTGTGTGTGTGTGTGTGTATAGGATTTGTTTTATATAGTTTTTTTTGGGCTCTCCTCTAAATATATACAGTGGTTGAATATTTACAGTGGTATGTCTTTCGTGAAGTATTTGACATTAACCAGTTTAAAATGTTGGAGAGTGTGATTAGGTTAAGCTGTCCTGCGATTTGTGTGAGAAGAGATTTCCCTGATAAGATTGAAAACCTTATGTTTACGACTGGGAAACATTATGTGCATAAATAATATCACGTACATCTTTAGGGCTCGACACTGGGTCAGGCGTGTCTAAGTTGTGCGGGGTGATGTGAAACTTGGTTCCTAATATTGAGAAACGGTGGATAAATATATGATGTAAGAAATATAGGATGTAAAGGGTGAATGTGGGTGGGCAAAGAATGAAATATAGGATGAAGGAAATATGTACTTTACACGTCCTATATATACTGCCTTGAGTAGTATAAGGTAGGACTTTGGAGTAGGAAGTAAGGCAGCAGTAATTAGCTGATCCGAATTAATTACTCATAGAGTAATTACTCGGAGCGCGAATTAGTGCTGCTCTTACTAACTGCTCCCAAGTTCATGATACTATATGGTAGAATTTTCTTCTTTAAGTATTTGTTTCTGTAACTACTGAAAGTCCCCACCGTTTGTAAGTGCGCTCGGTAAAAGACATCCATTGAAGTAGCGGTCGGCAGCGGTGACGGTCTTGATCGACCGATATTGGGCGATGGATGCTTGCTCAATGCTCATGAGTCCAGCGATGAGGTCGTCTGTTACTCGTAAGCTACAAAGACTCTGGGCAAATCCGCGGCGAAAAGCGTGCTATTGTACGTGCTGGGCGACAAGTGGTTTGCTAATGCCCGCCCGGTGAAAATATCCCCGTATGATGAAAATACTCTGGTGGTTGGGTAGCCGGTTGAGACTTTGTGGTATGTCCTGGAGCGCCGCAAGTAAATATAACTTTAATAAATCGAATGTGCTGGCGTCCAGTGTCCTTGAAATTGTCTTGAGAATGCTCGACAGGTCGTCACGTTCCTTCTTCCGTAGATCCACGTGAATGGTACGGCAGGCAGGTGTGAAAGTGATCGAATCCGGACCAAATGTTTGGTTGGAATCTCGTCGGGCTCCCAACAAGCCAGAATGTGGTGAGCAGCGCACGCCATTCCAGTTCGATACCCGTTGAATTGAGCAGTTGGAGGCTCCAGTTGGCTGGAATTTCGGTCGATCGACCGTTGTCTTCGGGTGCTGGGCATTCCACATGGAGACGTAGCCTGAATGGCCTATGACCACTGTCTGTCGAGAATAACGGCCTGTGTGTGTGTGCGGTACTGTTGATCGCAGCTCGTATCTGTCGAATTTGGTCTGGGGGGTGTCCTCTATAAAAACAGTATTGTAAGAAACTGTGTAAATCTCCATGTGACGGGAGTTGGGCAAGAATGCGGTTAGCTGTGCGGTACTCGTGCCAAATCCTTATCGCATGTCTATAATTCTCCCTTGTGCCTTCGGTCAGGCCACCGTTTGCTATCTGTTGACGCAGGAAGTCTGGCGTTGGTTTGTTGCCAGATGGTTCGTAAAGAACTGCGACGTATAACCAAATTGCCCGTTTCCATACTGGTACTATTATTACGGCCCTCTGGAGTCGCTTGTCTAGTTGTGAGAGGATTGGGTCCAGCATTGTTTCTGGTGGGGCTAGAAGCTCGAGAGATTGGTCCAATTTGTTGTGGTAAGGTGTGGCGAATGTAACATGTCCCTGGTTTTCTTTGCTGAGGTAATAGCTATCTGGGTGAAATCTCTCGTCGATGGATCTGGTCGAATCTGTCAATGGTTGGATATTTAAAGTATATCGGACGAGCGCACGGTACAGTGGTACTCTAGGAGCTTCACCATCTGTGATAGATCGTCGGCCGCCAGGCTGAACTTCCGTGGCATATAACCCAATGCTACCGGCACATCACTGACAGCAGGTGACAGAACCATACCAACCTCCGCAGCTGTGCATTCGTTAGCTTCGATTGGCTTTGTCGCTTCTGAGTGCGTGCAGGGTGGTGCTAGAATCTGTCAACCATAGTAGTGGTATGACGCCGATGCTTTGCCTTTTGTGATAGTATTCGTATGTTAAAACGAGTGCCTTTAGTTCTAAAACTGCTATTGGCCATCGTTGTTCGGTCGATGTCCATATGCCGGCGAACACCGTTGTCGTTCCCTGGTAATGCAGGGTCACGCTGAATCCTATCTTCGACGAATATGATGTTATTGTTGCTTGATGATCAGGCAGCTATTTAATCCTGGATTCAAAGATCGAGAATAATAGATTTATCTTTTCTATTTTCTTGAATGCTGCGACGGATAGGTGGACCTGGATTTCTCTGTTCCACAGAGTCATATGTTGCAAATCCGCGATGAAAGACCGCAATCCGAGAGTGGAGAAACTTACCCACTGGAGGCAACCTAAGTATGATTGCCATGCTTTGGTCTTCACTCGACGCTGGTTGCATAGGCCTTGTGTTCTGCTTTGTCTCTCCAGTGACAGAAGCTTCTTCTTGAACTGAGGTGTCATTCATACGCTGTTCTTCTCTATGTCGAATATGACTCCCAAGTGCTATAGCCGAGACACTGGTGTTATCCAATATCCCTTGACGGGCGCTAGTGTCAGGCCTAAAGAGGCCAGAAGTCGGTCTATGAATTTCTTGTGTTTCCATAGTCGAGTCGACAACCCACGAGAAGTAGGTCGTCGACATATAGTATTATCTGTATTTCCTTGGTCCCACGTGACGTTGTGAAATACGGGTATTAATTTGTTGAACCAATAGGGGCTGAATGTTGCCTCCATTGGTAGTGCTAGAAAGCACCACGTATTCCCCTTGTTGTCCCTAAACTGCCAACACTTCGGTGCGGCCACAGCCAACGCATAGAAACCGTCCTTTATGTCGGCCAACATAGCTGCATCCCCCGGGCGGGCAACTTCTGAGAGTTGTAAACTTCGATATTTATTTCTATTTTTTAAACTATGTTATATAAACTAAGATACAATTTAAGTCAGTTAGGATTTAGCAGTGGTAGCTTGTGTAAGAATGATCGGGACTGCCTATTGGTAAGAGCTTTAGTAACCTCGAACACACAGGACGTACCTCTAGCTGTTTTTTATTGAATAATATCTACTAGAAGTACTAAGTGTTCATAACCACATGTCTAATTTGTAGATAGACATAGGAACGTAAGTCAAGTTAATCCATTAGCTAAAATAAATAAAGTTCCATCTGAAAAAAAGTTAAAAAAAGAAAAAGACCTATTT